GCGTTCTGGAATCCACGTGGCACGGGTGCGGGCGTGGCACTTGGATCCGGATCGGATCGGATGCCAGGATAAGATCTGTCGATTAATTAACTGGTGATTATGATTTGTGCTTCGGTGTCAAAATAAATCAATAAGAATTTGACCAACTTTATAGGAACACTTATTAAGACACCAAATGATAAAAAAGAATTCCATAATATATAGTTATATTAAATTGATGTCATAAATATTGATGCTCATTTCTATAAATTTCTAATATTTTGACGTAGAACAACTCTAAAGACGGAGCATGTAGGAAATGTAATTCTCATTTTTTTGAGAAATCATATAGTTTTAAATTAAACTAAATTTGTAAAATGGTTACAAATATTTATGATAGCGGTTGTTATTACATGGAATATACATTTTCCTACACCCTAAACCGCAAAAAAGTATAAGAGCACCTGCAATTATTTAGGGTTTAGGGTTTTTGAGTAGTTGATAGTATATTTATTTGGAGCTATAGGCATAAATAATATTTTCTATAAATTGATTTATAGAAGTACGTATTTAAATTGGCGCAAAAAAGTATAAGAGCACTTGCAAGAAACAAGGCTCTACACAATTGTTAGGTCCTATTTGGAGGAGCCGTAGCTTTTCAAAAAGTACTTTCTAGAGAAGCTATGTGAAAAAGCTCGGGAGATGTTTTGAGAGAGCTTTTCTACTTTTACGTAAACGGTAGCTTTTAGAGCCTTTGTTAGCTTGAAAAAGCTATCTAGTCTAGAGCAAGGCTAATAGTTACAGTCGGTTACTGATTATAAAGTTTTTTTTAGTCTTGTTTTAGTCCACTTATATAATAGTAAGGTATTCATTATTAATATATGGCACGTATCTCTCTTCCAAAGTTTTTTAGTTCATGTGTCTAAGTTTATAATCCGTTTTTCTTCTACTCCGTCTCAGCACATGCTATTATTATACTAAGTCTTGGGAGGTTTTAGCTTTTCGAGCCCTGTGGGAGAAGTAAAAGTTACGAGAAGCTCTGCGAATAGCTTCTTAGGCCTTCACAATGCTATCTTTTTAATAGTAGCCCCAGTGTCATGTAGGATTAGATAAAATAATATGTGCTCTACACTTTATCATAGTGTCTTGCAGAAGCTACATATGCTTTGAGAGAGAGAAGATAATCCATGCTAAAAAAAGGGAGAGGAAATAAAGATGATGTATGATGAAAGAAAAAAGTTTCTTTCCAAACAATAAGTAATGATAGTTTACATTGTGTAAATAGTAGTCTCAATATTTTCTAGTCTACGTGGATTATTTTATTTGTATTAGAACCACTATGAAGGTTAGCCTGGTGCCCTTAACTTCCAACGCCACGCCATCCTAAATTCCTAATCCAGTTGGCTATGGCGTGAAGACACGTCGCATCATTTAGAGCCACTAAAATAAGGTGGTGTTTAAATCTAGAGAGTGAAGTTTAGTAATATCATATCAGGTGTCACATCGGGGTGTCACATGTGAGTATTTGGATAGTAATAATAAAACAAATAATATAAGTCCTCAGTAATCCGTGAGACAAATTTATTTAGACTAATTAATCCATCATTAAGCGTATATTTACTGTAGCACAACATTGTCAAATTATGGACTAATTAGATTTAAAAATTCGTCTCGCAAATTAGTCGCAATATGTACAATTAATTATTTTTAGTCAATATTTAATACTTTATGCATGTATTTAAATATTCGATATGATAAGAAGTAAACTTTAGGAAGAGAAACTAAACCAGACCTAAATTAATCCGCTCGGTTAGGCAATGCCAAATTGCCAAGTGCGGCACGCGTGGACTGAAGCACAGCCCAACACCGTGCGCATCGTATCATCTCAAACACAAAAGTTTCTTTATGCACTTTGTATATTGATTGATTGAGCAAGTGGGAGTAATCAACTCAGCAGTTGCGTAGGCTGAGGAGCTCAGGGCTCAACGATCGAAAACAAAAGGAAAATTGTATCCCAAATTCAGAAAACCTCTGTGCCAAGAAAACGTTAGAGATTTGATATAGCCTAGGATGTTTGGTTTGAAGAGATAAATTAGTCCATCTTCTCACTCTTTTTTTGTTTTGCAAAATAGAACATGTAAATTCGTCACTTTATTCCTCGCGGTCTGATAATTAATTTTATAGTATAAGTTATAGAGTCAATCTATCAAATTTTTGAATTGAAATAAACATCATTTGATTTCTTCGACGAGACAACCTGTGAAGCTGCCGCTCGGCGAGCTCAAGCGCGCCACGACGTACCTGCAGTGCAGACTTCAATAGCGGTTTGTTTGCTGGGCCCTTGTTTATACTACTCTAAACTCCTGAAAAGTGCATTATATAAAAAGAAGATTCTTATCACATCAAATTTGCGGTATATATATGAAATACTAAATATAGACGAAATCAAAAACTAATTGCACAATTTGCTTTAATTTTGCGAAACGAATCTTTTAAGCCTAATTAATCAAGTTTGGACAATAATTCACAAATACAAATGAAATGCTACAGTATAAAATTTTCATTATGCAAAGTTTGTCTGTATAAACTTTGCTTAACTAAACACCCCGGTAGTGGGTACAAGTCCCAAGATGTAAAAGGCAGCTGGAGAGCTATGTCAACACGAACGAGGTCTTGTTAAAATTTAGGGCGTAAAATTTTGAGGTGTATCTGAGGCATTATATACGAATATCGTATGAGATATTTGAATATTAATAAAAAAGAGAAAATTATGTTCTTACCCTTGTCAAAAAGTTTAATTATGATTTTACTCTTTTTTTAACTTTATGATTTTGATATTGTTATTTTAAAACGAATCATCCGTTTGCTCCTGATTTGCACGTCCGTTAGATGGACTGGAATAAATAAATTAAAAAAATCAAAATCCCAAAACACACAGGCTAAAAGACCGAATTGCCCCTTATCTTATCTTCAGCCTCCTGCTCGTCCCGACCCACGGGACCAAGGCGGATCCCGGCCGCGGTGCTCGGTCGCAGGCGGAGCAGCGGCGGTGCCCGGGCGCGGGGCGCGCAGGGCAGCGGCGGCGCCTGGCCGCGGCGCTCGCCCCAAGCGCGTGGTGCGGGTGTCGTGCGGCTCGGCGCACAGGACGGCTCCAAGCTGCGCCTCCCGGCCTCTGGTTGCGTGTGCGGTGCGGCTGCTGCTCCGGGGCGCGGGGGCGCACGCGTGCGGGGCCATCGTGGATCTCGTCCTGTGCTCGTCGGGCTCGGGGCGGCACGCGGGGGCGCGGGCATGTCTGGGCCTCCAAGGAGGAACCGGCGCAGCTTGGAGCGACGTGGAGCAGAGCTGCTCGGGGCGGCGAGTAGAGCAGCTCTGGCCGACGCGGGGCAGAGCAGACGCTACTCGGTGCGGCACGGAGCAGAGCGGCTCGGGGCGGTGCGGCGCTGCTCGGGCCGGCTACGCGACGTAGCTCCGGCCGGCGTGGCGAGGAGCAGAGCTGCTCGGTCCCGTGGCAGCGGCTCGGAGCAGGGCAGCTTCGATGCGTGCGGGCGGGCGGCGGTCTATTGGATCTACAGCACGGCAACCAGCGTGGACCTGCTTTCCTTTTTTTTCGATAACATATGTCCTCCTATTTTTAAGCGAAGCATATGTGAGTTTAAAAACACATAACAACCATAGCAATGATATCGAGGTCATCTATTGTTTTTGTCTAAGGACGATACATGTATTGATCATGCTGTTCTAAGTGCGATATGTGTATATTGGTTGTTTTCCGAGCAACTCTTAAGACTTCTTGCTTGATTTTTTTTGTAACGAGCGCACTTTTAAACCCAAAGTGCACCATCTTGAATTTTGACTCCGGATTGCTTCTCTCAGCTTCATCGTTATTTGCAGAAGCACTGTGCTCCACTTTTTGCTAAGTGGATTGACAATAACAATCGTCTCTTTGTTCTCTTCAATCATATCGGACTTCCATTAAATCAATTATAAGGGATGTTGTCTTTGTTCCACTTTTTGCTAAGTGGATTGACAATAACAATCGTCTCTTTGTTCTCTTCGATCGGACTTCCATTAAACCAATCATAAGAGATGTCTTTTTTAGAAAGGAAATTATAAGGGATGTTGTCTTGATAACCTCTAGGAGAAGCGACTCCCTATATTTTTAGGCACGTAAACTTACTTCAAAGGTGATCAAACTTCTTTTTTTATGGGCCGATTCGTTGACTCAACCCTTTGTGTTGGTATACTTGTTCAAAAAATCGGTAAAAAAATTGATTGTAACTGCACCTCCTCATTGGAATTCATGATTTTATTTGTCTTGCAAATTCCAATCTCCAGATATCTTAATTTGTAGGTGCGTGGTGTCTTTGATCCACCAGATCTTGTTTGGCTGTATGTGTATCCACCTCAATCCACATGTATTAGAATGGATTGGAATGTAATTTAAGTTTAATTTCATTCCAATCTACATCAACACATGTGGATTAAGATAATACATAAACATCGAAACAAGGCCTTAATTAGATCATTTGAGAGATTGGCCTTTTTTTGTGTTTACTGCTCTGGACAGCAACAATGACATTTTTTTTTCTTTCTCACTAGAGTTTTGGTTTGCCCCCCAAGCTCTGAAGATTTTATAATGATTTTAATATTCTCCTGGCCATCTACGGATCTTTCTTGCACAAAATTTTCCATGGCCTTGTCATTTCTTCTCACAAGAGGAGGCAAAAGGATTTGTTACGTGCTAGAACATTTTCCATGCTTCTGAGGGTGAACAGTTACAAGAGGGGAACATACATAGGAAAAATTTCTGCAGGTACAATAACAACAGGCACCTAACAGGAAGTCACGAACTAGCATTTCTCTAGTACCGTTAACATCCTACTGCTACTAATCTAGTCTCTCGCCCTGTCAACTTCCATGGTTGAGCTGCTAGTAACTTCACCGGCCTCGTTTGCTGCATCGTACCCCTGGCTGCGGATCATTCTCTGAATACTTGGCAAAGGCAGCTGTATGGGCCGACCTTACGTTAGAACCTTTCTTCTTTGCCGCGTCTGGCTTTTCTTACAAACTGCCATCTGTAGATGAAGGTTAACCTTTTGCTTTCTCTCGGGGTCTGGGGTATCCGGTACTACAAGGTTTGGGCAGGCAGAAGCCCGTTTGAATGGCTCATGGAAGGTATCATAGAGTTGTTTTATCTACAACAGTTAACAAATTATATACACACACATATTAAACAGGGAAACAGGGTTCGGTAGGGAAAAAAAACTCAAAATAGGGAGTTTGCAGTTTCTGTCAAAGGGATAACCAATGTGTGCACGTTGCAGTACCTTCCACTCACAATTCCTGGTCATCGAGCCAGCTCCTCCATAGAAGCATTCATGATTTGTGAGAGTGACTGCAAATACATGGAGAACCACATTTATAAGATGCATATTTATTTACTGGATTTCTTGTGTTAATGCTACTGCCATACTGAAGTGCCACAACAGAACATACTGTCAGACAAGTGTACTCATGGAGGAAGTTGTAAGGCTTACAGGTCAGGACGATTCTTTGTCCAACTTACCCTAAAAGATGAACCAAGTCTGACAACATCTGTTTTATTAACATGCCGAATGGATGTAAGCGCGTGCGTCAACTGCAATTATCCAAAACCATACATAAAAATATAATCAAGGCACTGATATTTCAGTAGTTGATAAAATGTTTCACTACCATCAACCCAAAAGGGCAGAACAGAGAGCTGTATTGAAACCACTCACAATGCCAATGCTAGAAATATGGTTTCAAATAGACTAGACAGCAAGCCACAGGGGTATAAGAACTGCTGGACAGTTCACTGGTTCCGATATGGCGCGTCGCTAAGAGGGTTAGCTCCCAACGGTTTTCTTTCGGGTTTCATCTCCATTAGAATGGCTAGATTTAACGTTGGCTCGCCACGCCTATCACAACCCTCCTCCTTTACCAGGGCTTGGGACCTACTATGTTGAGACAACATAGGCGGAGTTGCAAAGGGTAGCTACACTGACTATAAAAAAACATGGTATACACTCCTCATAAAATCAACATAGAGAATGCCCCAATCAAAACATGATGCGTTTGAAACAGATAGAATAGCTAGCTTTACCTGTTAGTCCAATCGTATACTTAGTATTTGTATACCAGCTGTGTGAAGTTCTCCTATATAATCTCAAAAATGGACATTCAGACTGCCTTCAGTATTTCCCTACCAGTAGTCTCCACATGAACATTTACCATCCTTAAAATGGTGAAAGCGTTGAATATCTCTCATGATTATTTCCCGTACGGTCACTAGAGATATTAACTTGGTTGCATTATGACAGTCATTACAAACTCGAAGGTTCTTCTTTATCTGAATTGTCGTGCCAGGGGCTGTTCGAATGAGCCCATATGCAATGGCAAGCTTCTCACTGTGGGTGTTAAGCAGCTGTGCCTTGACATCATCTTCCACATCATGTATCGAATCAGTGTCTGGCACATATCCCACAGCTTTGATCTCTTCAATGAGCTTAGCCAGCCTTGCATATATTTCCTTTGTGTGCTGGTGATTTGTGCTTCCGGAGTAGAAGGTATGGACCTCATTTTTGAGCTGGATAATACTCCATCCAGGAGTCTTCTGGAGTCCTTTCTTCTCCATAGCAGTCCTCACCCTCGCAACGTCCTTCCACATTGAAGCGTTTGCATAAATGTTTGCCAAGAGGACATGGTACACCCCCTCCTCTGGGCCCAGCTCAAAGATTCTCTGTGCTGATTCTTCAGCCAATTCAACATTCTTGTGCAACTTGCAAGCACCTAACATTGCACCGTAAACACTAATGCCAGGTTCTATAGGCATGTTTTGGATGAAAGACCAAGCTTCATCTACCTTCCCAGCTCGTCCAAGAAGATCCACCAAGGTACCATAGTGCTCCATTCCAGGTTCAAGCCCATAGTCCTTCATGCTATCAAAATATTTCCGCCCTTCATCAACCAAACCAGCATGACTGCAAGCTGCAAGGACAGAGAGGAATGTTATCTCGTTGGGCAAACTGCCAGTGCCCTTCATCTCTTCAAATAGCTCAACTGCAACCTGGCCAAAACCATGCGAACCATAACCATGGATCATCGCATTCCAGGTGATAACATGCCTGTCCCTTGCAGAATCGAAGAGCCTTCTAGCTACGGTGACACGCCCACATTTGGAGTACATGTCGATAAGGGCCGTCAGGACATAGATATCCTGGTCTAGTTGGTGCCTGATAGAATACCCATGGATCCATCTTGCCTGCAGCGGGTCAGAAATGTCCGCGACTGCAGGAATCACGCTGACTAAGGTGAACGAATCTGGTTTCACATTTTCCATCTGCATCCTAGCGAAGAGCCTCTCTGCATCCTCGGAGCATCCATTCTGCGTGAAGCCGAGGATCATGGCATTCCACGAGATCCGTGTCTTTTTTATGCCCAGCTCATTGAACACCTGGGCAGCAAGGTCTGCCCTCTTGCACTTTGAGTAAGTGGTGATAAGCGCGTTCATCACCGACACATTGGACTTCAAGCCAACCCTCACAAGTAGCTCATGGACACGCCTCGCCTCGTCGAGACATCCAAGCTCCCCACACGCTTGCAATGCTGCCAACACAGCCGCATCCATCACATCCACACCCTCCTGGACCATCCTCCAGAACAAAGCCAGAGCCTCCGTGGCGTTCCCGTTCTCAGCATACCCATCAATCATGGCGTTCCAAGACACGGAGTTCCTGACCGGCATCCAATCGAAGACCGCCCTCGCCGCCTCGACCGCACCGCACTTGCAGTAGGTGTCAAGGACCGCCGTGGAGACATTGACGAGCTCATCGAGCCCCGCACGGAGCGCGAACGCGTGGACCTCTCGGCAAGAGCGGAGTGCCCGGGCGTCGGCGCAGGCCGGCAGCACCGACACGAGCGTGACGGAGTCGGGCCGCTCCCATCCCTCCTCCCCCTGCGTCCGGACGACCGCCTCCATCGCGAGCGCGGGTAGCCCGTTCCGCGCGTACCCGGCCACGAGCGCGTTCCAGGCGACGCGGTCCCTGGCGGGCATGCGGTCGAACACCCTGCGCGCGTCCGCGGGGCGGCGGCACTTGAAGTACATGTTGGCAAGGGCCGTGGCGGCGAGGGACTCGGAGGTGAGCCCCCGCGCGGTCAGCTGCGCGTGGACGGCGCGGCCCGTGGCGAGGTCGGCGCAAGCCGCGCAGAGCTTGAGGAGCGCGGTGAAGGTGCGGAGGACGGGGCGCGCGGCCGCGTGGGCGGCGGAGGAGGATGACATGGATGCGAAGGCGGCGATAGCGCCCGGCAGGTCGGAGCATGCTGCCGCCGCCCTGAGGCGCGCGTGGGGGTCGGCGGCATGCGAGGGAGGAGACGGAGACGGGAGGGATGCGGTGGCGCAGCAGCACAGCATCGGAATCGGATTTGTTTTTTAAGAAAGCAGGTGGCATTAGACTTATTGATATAAAAGTTTACATGCATTTCTTACAAAGACACCCCTGACAAAAGAAAAATTACATCTAAGTCCTTGTAAGACTTTCCCAGTCATCCTTCAACGCCGGCCACCGGAGTCGCCGCTCGAAGCGCCGTCTCACGAAGAGAGGAGCGCCAAAGCTGCAACTTGAAGCCGATTCGCATCGGAATCGGATTGGGGAGCTCATCGACATGCCGGCCGGCACGCCGAGGCGTGTCGTCTGCATCAACCCATTTTCGGGCCCAGCTGATCTAGGATCTGCGGCCCAAGTGGGATATATGAGCTTGAATGTACGCTCAATTACTCAATTCTCAGTACGATCGGTGTACCAATATCTGATAAATCAGAGTACTCTGTACTCCTTTCGGTATTCCACGCATTATGCCTAAAATTCAACTACCTGTAATAAGTGATCAAGCTACGAGTCTTTTTACCTATATGCATGAGCTGATTTGAGTCAATCTCTGAACTTAGTTATGAAATGGGGTAGTCCCATTTTGATAGTTGAAGGGCTCATTGCACAACAGTTTTTTTTTTTCATATTGGCCGTTCAGCTATGCGATGAAGCTATCCAGCAAAGGAGGAGGTGATCAAGCAAAAAGATGATAAGATAAGCAAGGCAAAAATAATTCCAAAGAATGTGCGCGCTACAAAAGACTTGAGGGCAGAGGCACAAGCTCGTGACAAGAATCTGGCATGGACAGTGGTGTTCTGCCTACTAGCCAATATTCTGGAGAAGGTTTACATTTAATTGTTCTGATGCACAATAATGGGTGATCATCGCTCTCGGACGTATATGCTTGTGAGGGTTCCTTTTTGAGCAAAATGTTCTGCATGTTAATATATATATGTATATTTTCCTAACATCTGATGCTCTAGTCGTTCTACATTTTAGCTTAACTGTAACGCAGCTTGTCCAAAATACTACCATTCGGAATGTAATTTCTATCACCCATGCCATACGCTGTACTCTGTTTCCCAGACAGGACACATCTTGTTTGCTTCACAAAAATCTAAAAAAAACAGTAAGGCCTTGTTTAGATTGCAAATTTTTGTAATCTGGACACTGTAGCACGTTTCGTTTGTATTTGACAAACTTTGTCCGATCATAGACTAACTAGACTCAAAAATTAGTCTCGTGATTTACGACAAAACTGTGCAATTAGTTACTTTTTTTACCTACATTTAATGCTCCATATATGCGTCCAAAAATTAATGTGATGGAGAGAAAGTGAAAAAATTTAGAACTTTGAGGCAATCTAAACAAGGCCTAACATATAAATGTTTTCTTCATTCAGACCACCCGTGCATAGTTTTTTTTTCAACACTTAGGCCCCTTTAGTACGGCTCCTCGGTGGTGCCAGTCAAAAAAAAATGAAGAACTAGGCGAAGAGAGCTGGAAATTGTGGCTTCTCCGGCTCCGTTCTTTTCCTGAGCATGTGGAAAACCATGGTTGGTTGGAGGACTGTGATGTGTGTGAGTGAATGCAAAAGGCAGTGAATAAAAAAAGAATCATTCGGTAACTGTCTAGTTCGATTTCTGGTAGAACATTTGGATATTTGAGGGAAAAAAAAGAGAGAATTCTGCAGACCTTCACTGGCACAAGCTCACACCAGCTGTTTGCTTTCAAGCCTTGAAGTCTAATAACGGCTAGAAACGTTTGGACTTTTCTGAACCCATAATGTTTCCTGTAAAAACTTCGCGAGTGGGAGATTTATCATCACATCACACTGATCCTAATTCACACTTGAATACCAACTCTGAAGCATGCATAAACAATTTATGCTCGTGACGGTGTGGAGTACTGTAACCAGGTCGCTGTCAAACGTCAGGGGCTGTGGTTAAACATGCTGACAATTGTTACATACAAAACGAACTAGCTGTAACAGTAAGCAAGAGAACGAACCGGCCAGAAGTTACATAAGCCTTTATAACCTTCCCTCACGATCTAGAGTCTAGACATATATCTCCAAAACCGAAGAGTATCCACATTTTATCCGACATAATTCAAGAGGGGAAAACTGGCAATTCAGCAACTTGTCAATTTTATGTGCAAAAATGGGAAACGAAAAAGGAAACTGGTGCCGGAGGTTGTGCGCTTTTCACAACCGGTTGACCATGTCAGCTGACTCTGGATATGGCTGCCCATAGGAGCTGAACACCAGTGGATGAACTAGCTCACTGTCAATAATCTAGGGCACATCTGATGGAGAGGGGTTGTCCTTGCGGAGCACCTTTCAATAATAGGTCATGGTTTATAAATAAGACGATGACAGTAATGTCATCATGAAAATGCCTGCGAACTTTCTTATCGATCTTTGTAAGGTCCGAGTAGCGCATCTCACGCTTCCGCGCTGCTTCTTGTAGAGCGGCTTTTATGAGTCTTCTTGCACTTCCCTGAATAAGAAAAAAAGCGGCAATCATAGTAAATGCAACTCTTGTTTTTGAAAGTAACAAAAGTAATTCAATGTATTTGTAAGGATATTGAACTATTTAACCAACAGCTGAGAAAACCAAAGCAATACATGCATCAGTGGCAGATAAACTAACTTAAATTGAGGACGTTAGGACTAGCACAGTAACTTAATGTGTCAAATTGGAGACTGATGCGATATTTTACATGGTATTTAATGTACAAAGCAATAACATGTCCAGCCATGGCAGCTAAGTGAGTTGTCAAGAGGCAGCAGACCAAACAAATACACAAAACTAATAGGACGGGACAAAGTAACTAGGCCGACGTCAGTCATGGTAGTGCATCCCCGGTACTTCAAAAATAACTCAGAACCGATATTCCTTTCATGCAAGTAGTATATTTATTACGCTTAATCATAGGTCTAATAACCATGTACACAGTTTGCGTCATTTGACAATAAATATCATGACCACAATCCTCCTTGTAGCATTACTGGAGGGCAGGACACTGTTGACACATAGCACATACTATTGCTAAGCAGGTCACAAACTCGTCTAGGCTGGAGGTGTGGCATGTAGCCCCAGCTTGTGTAAGCGATCTGCTGCTAGTTGAGGCTTCGGCCCCTTAATCTTAATGAAAGGCATGTTTACCTCAAAAAAAGAAAAGACACCGTTGACACAGCAAACTTTTTCCCATAACTGATACCTAATAGATGATCCTAAATGCGAAGCAACAAAGGTTGTAACAGCTTGCTGGATCACAACAGGAGCAGAACTGTGGGGTCCAGATACAGGTCGCATGCCAGCCACACATCCAGAATGAATTAATTGTTAGTATTGTAGCAACTGCGCTGGCCATAGTGGATTACTCAATTTCATACTGATACTAGCAAAATGGTAAGGCCTGGATTTTAATGCAACCAAGTTGTATTCACTCTGGATGTGTTTGCCTGGATTTTAACACAGTCATGAGCTTAAAAGTGAATGCAATCTATGAGAACTGGAGACCGTCACATTCCAAATTGATCACACTGACTGATAATTCTAGTCCACAATTCCATGGGTAGAATAATAGGTTCACCATGCGTTTAGCAATTCCCTAGTTCTGATGATTCTTAAACTTTTTGTATAGTGAAAGTGCTGCTAGTTGCTACCATTGCAAAACAAAAATTCCATAGAGACATTGCAGCATTTGGTGTTAATATGTAGTTGTGATCTTAAGTGTTCTGGCCATTGACATTTTGCAAACTGTTTGTTTTTGTTTTAAGGTTGTCATATGGAATGACATGACACCAGGTTGATCAAGAAAATTACATAAGTAATTTGAGTTATGGAACTTAAAAGAAAAGGAATCTTACAGCACGTTGATGGTTGTGAACAATCTCAACAGCTTCCTGATTGTTCAGGTGTTCCCACAGACCATCTGACGCGAATATGATGAAACAGTCATTTGGTTCAAGATTGCGGGAGATGATAGCTGGATCAGCACTCAATAATGGCTTGCTGAATGATTCAGAAAGCCTGAACTTGGGTTTGATCTGCTCTGTGTTATACTTTGCATGTTTCAGGTATACATCACCGATTGATCTAGACACCTGCACTGCCACCACATAATCATAAGCACCAGACATACTAGTCTCTGATTCATGAATGAATACGCTATACAAGGGACTCAGGTAAGACCGACCTGTATGAGGCCCCTCACTCTCCAGACCCCATGCTTGAGTGCAACTATCTGCGCGTCATCTGGATGTTGCGCCTTGAGCTCCTGCCTGACAGCCTCCTGATTGGCATTGTGCTCACTGGACAATTGCTCCGCGGTAATCTGCCCGGCGCGGCCCACCTTCTTCCCGAGAACGGCCCGGGAGTCGCCGAGGTTGGCGACGAAAAGGGTCCTGTTGTGCACGACGCCGACGAGGCAGCACGTCCCGGCCGTGGCGATGTCCGGCTGGGCCTCCCAGAGGCTTGACACGAGCGCGAGGAAGCCTTCCTCCGTGGCCAGGAACGCCTCCCTGATGGCGTCCGCGGTGACGCCCCGAGGGCCGGAGAACGCCTCTGCGCGCAGATCAATCAAGCGTCAGCTGCCTGCCTATTATACAGTTTCACTCTCACCGCGCCGGCCGCGGGATGGGGTTGCATTCGGGCGTGGATTACCTCGGAGGTTGGGGACGAGGTGGTCGCAGGCGAAGCGGGCGGCGTCGGGGCCGCCGTGGCCGTCGAAGACGCCGACGACGGTGCCGAGGGGCGGGGCGGAGTCGAGGCGGCACTGGTCCTCGAGCACCTGGTTGGCCTGGGCGACGGCGACGGAGACGTCGCCGGCGTGGCAGCGCGCGAGGTCGCGCCACCAGAGCAGGCCGTCGCGGCCCTCAGAGTCGTCCCCGGATGAGGAGGAGGACGCCGCAGCGCCGGGGGCCGGCGAGGCGGGCCAGACCCCGCCGCACGCCGAGAGGAGCCTGAGGAGCGGGCCCAGCATGCTCCCGCCACATCGCCGACTGGGGCGTCCCCGAGGCGGCGCGGGGAGGACGAGCGGGCGCGGGCGCGGGCGGCGGCTGCGGAGGCGGGGCAGTTTCGGTGGTGTGGTGTGGCGAGGGCGAGGGTCGCAATCGGCCGCGTACGAGAAGAAAAGGGAGGGGAGGGGAACGGAACGGGATGGAACGGCCGAGCCGAGCCGGACGCCCGGACGTGGGGGCAGCGGGCAGAGCGAGCCGTGTCGGGTTCGGTGCGACGCGGTGCGCGCCTGCCTCCTCGCTCGCGTCGCGCTCGGTGGGGTGGCGTGGCGACGTGAGGTGAACCTTTTTTTTTATTAAAAAACAAAATTTATAATCGTTTTCTTTTTGTGCGTGCTTTAAAGTAAGCAGCCGCCGGCCGGCGGGCGGGCGAGGCGTGTCGTGCGGTCAGCGCGATGTGCCGCTCCAGCCTCCAGCTCTTGCATTGCTCACATCGCATACGGGTGTGCCCGCACATGATTTCTCAAAGACTTCGATCCGGCCAGAATAATAGTTTGTGTACGTCAACATAATATATACATACACACACACCTCCGGACATTTTTCATATACTTTTGTATCAAGTGGCCATCACGGATTATTCGGTAGTACATTATACTTACACAAGCTTGTTAAGAATGTTGAATCTGATCCTAAAATTTCCTATGACTTCACCACGGTCCTTTTTCGGTACTTTACTTGATCCATGCACTATTTCTTTCAATCGGAAATACAAAAAGGTTGCATCTGCTTGCGACCTTTTTTTTTTTTGCGAATGTACTTGCAGCTAATAAACTACTACTACTATACGAAGGGGTATAAGTCACGTTTTTTTTAGAGGAGTATAAGTCACGTTAGTATTCTAGAAAGACGTCTTCCATGATTCTCTACTCATGGTCCCGTTCGGCTTGCTGAAACTTGGTTGAAATTGGCTGAAAAAAACTTTTCTGGCTAAAATGTTATGAGAGATAAGCATCGTTCCAGTTAAAAAAAAGCCAGATAAGTCGAATTTAAGGTAAACCGAACGGGCCTATATTTGTTACCTCTAAAATCTCAACAATCCAGCCCATTCACGTTCACGCTTTCTGAATCGACATCCAGTGATATAACACAACGTCTTCCAACAAATCTTCGAAGCGCGTTATTGATTCACTAGTTCGCCTTAACCAGTGTTCTCTCGCGCCTCACCCCTAACCGTGCACGAATCTCAAGGCACGAAAGGAGGAATAGAAGCGCACGGCCATCTCGTCAGCCGCACCCCCCGCACAGGCGCGCGCGCACACTCGTCTCATCGGAGAAAAGGAGATCCGGACTAGGGTTTTAGACGGCGATGGGTGCGGCGGGCGACGAGAAGGCGGCTGCGGCTGCGGCTGCGGGGGCCGGTGCCGCCGCCGCCGAGGGCGAGGGGGCGGTAGACTCCAAGGACCTTCAGCAGCAGAGCAAGGCGCTCGACAAGCTCACCGATCACGTCGAGGACCGGCAGCTCGATTCATCCCGTGTCCAATCCGTACGTTTAATCCCCCCTCCCCCCCTCCCCGCACCCACCGATTCCTTCTCTCTGTTTCCTTTCTAGTACCCATAATTTTACATTGCTAACTGCTATTTTTACATTGCTACAAATGGAAGCAAGCACATGGACATCTCATAATTTCCGAATGTCGATTGTACCAGGACCCATAATATTTCTTAGCAGGTTCTGTTTGCACGTCAATCTGTTCTAACCCTTTTTAAGTTTCCTTCCCAAAATAAACTAGTAATGCCATGTCGTGATTGAGTTATGTACTTATTTCTAGCTTAACCACAAAAGATGTCTGTAGGATTTCTTACAGATCTGAATATAGTTTGCAACATGTTTGTCAACTGCTATAGAATTATTAAACTCAGTTTTCTAGCACCCTATAGAATTTTTGCTGTCACTCCATATACAAATGGATATATTTCTTTTTTGGCTACTAAATTTATCTAGATTGACCGAGTAAATAACACCAGTTAATTCGTCATTAAGATACTCTTACTGCACATTCGTAGTTTCTTACCAACAACTGCGCGAGAAATTAGTAGTAAAAAGAAAGCCCCCAGTGGACCTTATTATGTCCAAAATGATATACATTTAGTCATTTATTTACAGAGGGAGTATGCACTTGAGGGAAAGCATTGGATCAACAATCAAAGTGGCATTCGATTGTATTTGCTTGGATAACCTTTCTATTGACATTTGATTCTTATCTGCTCATTGCAATGATCTTGAACATTATTTTATAGTTTTATGAATACTAAGGTCCTAGATAAAAGTAGAAGGCAATTGCAGAGTTATAGAGAAACGTTGTGTTTGATTCAGCTATGCTTTTAAATTGGTGTAACTCTTTTTTACATGCTTTGTTTATGCTGCAGGCCATGGCGGCACTTGCTTCATCCAAAGAGGCTGACTGGAATGCAATGAGGCTGAGGTTAACACATAACATGTCCACAACTATTAGCTCCTTGCGATCCTTCCTCTATGGTAGCTTCGGTAGGGCTTGCACTTTTTGCAGCACAGTATGAAAATAAAGCTTCCAGGATCTTGATTGAGTTGGATGATCAGAAAGTAGCATGCAAATTGGAAGAAAATCTAATTGGAATATAGCGTTCTTGATTCTGTAATTTTAGCCTAACCTTTTCCCTTTGGTGGTCTGTGCATGTCAGTATACTATATTGCTATTTGATGTTTCAATTTCTGTGCACTCTGTGATTATTCTGTAGTTCTTGTAACATATTATTTTATTGGGTGATATGAACTCTCCATCTGAAATGTACACAATAAGCAGATATAGTCAATCTCTTCCATGGTGACATATTGGTTTATTTTTCTTTCTGGAAAAGTGTCATGTAACAGTTTTATCACATTCACTGCATTTACTCCTTCATCAGGGAGAAAGAACTAGCTGCTGTCAAGATCAACCCTACTGATGTTGAAATTATTGCTAATGAGCTTGAGGTACTCATCCAAAACCTTGACTGATAAATAATGTTTATTTTTTTAAAAAGCTGTTCTCAAGTGTATCTGAATATGCAGCTGGACAAGAAGATTGCAGAGAGAACCCTCCGAGAGCACAAAGGTGATGCTGTAGCTGCAGTTCGATTCTTGCTGCACTAGTTTGGAGACTTAGTTGCCGGCATTATGTATGGTTTCCTTCAATTCAGTACAACATGTGATGATGTGAAGCAGTAGTACTTTACTGTGCCAGTGTTGGAAATTTGCTATGTCAAAATGAAATGATCATACTTGGCATTGACCAAGAGCCTTTCTTGCCATGATGTTTGCGAACTAGTTTCTGTTCTGCTGTAAAAGCCTCTGGTTTTAACCAGAAAATCCTCTACCTTCATTTGGCACTTTGTATTTTCGGAGATAGCTGCAAACATTAGAAACAGAAAATGTGTATGAAACAAATGAGACCTCCGATACACACAACAGTTTTCTCGAATGGATTTTCCCAAGACGTGAGGTCTCTGAAGGTTTTAGAAAATGGGATCACTCTATTTATAAGTCATAGCCAGGTGAAGTGTCTTCAAAGGTAAGAAACATGGCATTGCTTCTGCATCATCCGACCTGCGGGCTCGTACTGTACAGCTGTTGGCAAATTGTCTGTGCTTGATTGCTTCTGCATCATCCGACCTGCGGGCTCGTACTGTACAGCTGTTTGCTTGTTGCAGTGGCAATCCTTCATCGAGGAGCTGCAGCCTGCGTTAAGGGTCCTTTGGGACTTGGGGCTCTCCGTGGCTCTAGCTCCTATATAAGCTCCTATATAGTACAGTAATATGAGAAGCCGGAGCCAGTGAAAAAACACCAACTCCACATTGTTTCTGCGGCGAAAAATGCTCCATCGGGAGCTGCTACCTGCTGGTTTGAGAGGATTTTTTTTTTTGCGAAAATGAGAGGACTTTCTTTGAAGCTCTAGCTTCATGCTACAATAACCTGAGGAGCTGGGGAGGGCTTTCTTTAGCTCTAGCTCCATGTTGCACTAATCTGAGGAGCTAAAACCAATAGAGAAAGAAAAGATGTTTTCCTTGACTCTAATCTACGTTGTTTTTTAGGGGAAAGAAAAACGGTTTTATGAGTAGTGCAACTACAATATCGTTTATAGTATCGCATTAGCCGGAGCCGGGGCTATAGAAAGCCTTCTCAAATGGGCTCTAATGGCCCGTTTGGCTAGGCTCCGCCCAGCTCCGGCTCTCTCCCTGTAGCAGTCCTATGCAAGCACTATGGCGGAGCCACACCAACGCAGCTCCAACGGCTGCTCTTCGTTTTGCAGGAGTTCCCAGGCGGAGCTAGAGAGGGTGGTACAATGCCGTGGCAGACGGAGCCGGAGCCATCAGGAGCGGCACCAAACGGCCCCTAAATTCCTACGTGGTTGGTTTGAAACATATTTTAGTTTTAGAATCTAGGGAGAGAGGCGTAATTGTTGATGCTCTTTTCTTTCTTGAAGCACAAAATAGAACTACAGAAGCATGCAACTACCTCTATCTCCAAAAGGAGGCAGTTTGTGCCAGTTTTTTTACATAATCAATTTATCTCAACTTTAATTAAATATGTATAAAAAGTAATATTATTTTGAGTTGCAAATATTAATATTTTTTTTAAAAAAACTAGTGATATTTTAGGAAGTTTCATTTGTGTAAGGCATTGTTTAAATCCAGGGTGTAAAGTTTTGGGGTGTCACATAGAGATCTCGCATGTGGTGTTCGGATACTAATAAAAAAATAAATTACAGAATCCGTCAGTAATCCGCGAGACGAATTTATTAAGCCCAATTAATTTGTCATTAGCTATGCGTTACTGTAGCACCATATTATTAAATCATGGACTAATTAGGCTTAAAAGATTCGTCTCGCAAATTAGTCGCAAACTGTGTAATTAGTTATTTTTTAGTCTATATTTAATACTCATACATGTGTCAAACATTCGATGGGATATGGAGTAAACTCTAGAGAGAGAAACTAAACAAGCCTTAAATCCAGAATTGCATCTTTTTAGGGGAGAGGTGGCATTTGCACGTACAATGCACAGATCTTCCAAGCATGCGGGCCATCTGCACAGAAAGTACGAAGAGCGATCACTCCAAGGAGGAGGCGCCGGCGCGCATGGTGACAAGTGGAACTCACGTCTCGGAACTCCGAAACACGTCGCCCTTGCCACGCGGCGCATACTCATTGGCCACTTGCTGTTCCCGTGAGTTACTATTGGGAAGCCGTTGCCGGCTACGCAAGCACACGTGTGCACTGCGAGCCTCGTCATCTCGCGGCCCCAGCCGTCAGACACAAGGCTGGACCTCACCCGTCGCCCCCACTCCTTATTAAGCGCGGTGCGTTTCGCGCTCGCTATCCACCAGGAGAGTTTCCGGGGCACGAGAAGTATCAGCGGAAGGTTCTAGCAGGTTCCACTTGAAGTGGTGGGCGTTCGCTCGCCGTCCACAGTGATGGCGGTCCTCGAGAGGTCGTCGTCCCCCGCCGCGGCCGCCGCCGTCGCGGCCCTGATCACGCTCGCGTCCGTCGCCGGCGTCGCCGGCGAGGTCTTCTTCCAGGAGAAGTTTGACGGTAAACACACGAATCTCACCCGTCTCTTCGTGGTCTCTGGATCTCCTGTCCTCCTGAGTGGCGGATCTAGCAAAAATAGGTTAGGCGTCCCAGTGTTAGATCTGAGACAATGTGCTTGCATTGCTGTTTGTTGGTTCGTGGAGCGATGCCGGTGCGGCTGTTGCTGTTTTTTTGTGGTCTCGTTTGTTCTAGAGCGCGTTCGCGTCCGTGGGAGTCGAGCGCGCGCCGCGAGGGATCTCTAGCCCAACACGCCGCTGGATGTTTTTCTCTCGTGATCTCACGGTCTCGGAGTGTGTTTCATTTCGTCTGCATTCTACACTGATTCAGCCTGTTCCAGTGGTAATCGTGTGGGTGTTTTTATAATTCGTCTGCAATAATTTCGGGTAACTATTTGCCAACTCTGTGGTAATGCGGCAGAGACTGCCAATCACCTCATCTTCCGCTGCCTAGTTCCTTTGGCTTTCTGGAATCATATTGGCTGGACTAGGGTCAACCTTCCGGAGCCAACTCACCTATGGGAGATGCCACGGCCACCACATATCCCGGCTAAGCACTTCCCGATGATGATACTACTGTGTTGCTGGCAGATTTGGAACCATCGCCACGACGTCGTCTTTCGCCATCAGCAACCTTGTCTGAGCCACCTCCTGTACAGCTGCAGGGAAACATGTCGCCTATGGAGCAGCCGCCTTCGTTTTCAAGACCGTTCCATTGCTGATCACTGGTGTAATTTATTTGTCATGAATTAATGTCATGTACGATTAAGACCATGTAAACTCTAGGTGCCTGACACCCTCCATTTACCGGCTTGTCGGAATCTATGAAAAATGATTCAGGTGGGGCTCTCCCCCCTCCGGTGAAGTCTTCTAAAAAAATTTCGGGTAACTCGATAGGTTTTGTCGGGCCCCAAGGTTTAGGGGTTATGAGTTCAAATTTTTGCCGTTGTGTGCCTCCATGTTTGCCATCTGTTGTTTGTGAGATGACTTCGCCATTATCCGGAGAATCATCTATCGTCTGAATTGTGCAAACTGACGGAAACAGATGGATGGGAGGATCGATGGGTCAAGTCCGACTGGAAGAAGGACGACAACACGGCAGGCGAGTGGAACCACACGTCCGGCAAATGGAACGGAGATGCCGACGACAAAGGTGAGGAGCGACATCTGTAGGGTCATTGACCGTGATGGTCTCTGTTCTGTTCGATCGGCATGTTGCTTAAGTGACATCCATTTCTGTTTGTGGGTACAGGAATCCAGACCTCTGAAGACTACAGGTTCTACGCCATTTCAGCGCAGTACCCCGAGTTCAGCAACAAGGACAAGACCCTGGTGCTGCAGTTCTCGGTGAAGCACGAGCAGAAGCTCGACTGTGGCGGTGGCTATGTGAAATTGCTTGGGTCTGATGTTGATCAGAAGAAGTTTGGTGGCGACACCCCATACAGGTAAAGATCGGTCTCCATCGATCTCCTTGCGTATTCAAGCTATAACATCTCTGACTGGTTGATTGAACAAACTGTATCTGTAATTTTCACTTTCAGCATCATGTTTGGGCCGGATATCTGTGGGTATGCCACCAAGAAGGTCCATGCTATCCTTACTAAGAACGGCAAGAACCATTTGATCAAGAAGGAGGCGCCATGCGAGACAGACCAGCTGACACATGTTTACACCCAGATCATCCGGCCTGATGCCACATACAGCATTCTCATTGATAACGATGAGAAGCAATCTGGCAGCATCTATGATGATTGGGATATTCTTCCTCCAAAGAAGATCAAGGACCCTGAAGCCAAGAAGGTGATGTTTAGACAATTCTTCCTGCCTTTGCTAAATACTGTAAAATCTTGGTTGAGCTCTTTTCACAGAGGAGCTTAATGTAGAATGTAATGGTTGCAGCCAGAAGACTGGGATGATAAGGAATACATTCCTGATCCCGAGGACAAGAAGCCAGAGGTATATACTTTACTAAGCTTGGCATACAGTAGTAGTTTGGGTTATATTCTGTCCACTATGTTCTGTAACTCAGAAAGCTGTAAGTAAAAGTATCATTTACTTGTATGACAATATGAGCCTATATTGTAGTATTATAAGCAGCCTTTTACGAATGATCTTTATCACTGTTGGTGTCTGACTTAGATTGTTCTTTGCAGGGTTATGATGATATTCCCAAGGAAATTCCTGACCCCGATGCAAAGAAGGTGCATTGCTTATTCCATAGTATTTTTTTATGACACTTATTCCATATTATATGGCACTGTTCGGCTGGTATTATTCTGGGACTGTTCATGCTGGAATTTACTGTTTATGCTGGAATTTTGTGAGGGAAAACACTGCTCCGGCTGAAAAAAAAAGCGAACCTGCCAGCCTAATATCACCAGCCGAACACGCCAATATACATCTCCTGTGATCTGATCTTCAGCAGATCCTTGATTTCACATTCTTCAATACCTGTTCCAGCCAGAGGATTGGGATGATGAGGAAGATGGTGAATGGACAGCCCCAACCATTCCTAACCCAGAGTACAAAGGACCATGGAAGCAAAAGGTATGAACATGACTAAGTG